CCTGTTCCTCTTCCAGATTTCTGGCATCATGCGTGCACGATGATCAGCTGGCGTTTTTGCATATGGCAGTGCCGGAAACTGGAATAGCTGGTCTTCCATTTTCCTGCATGAGCATGGGTGCCGGCCAGCTGATTGTCATGAGCACATCCATGCCAGAAACCCGGAAGACTAGCTGGCGAGTGTGCATGCAACTGCCAAAAACCAGAAGTTCATTTTTCAGCACATGCATGTGCCCTGGGAAACTCCTCTCTGGATTGTGGCCAAGATGTTTGTGCGCCCTTTTCGGCATTCGATGCCGAAAAGGTTCACCATCACTGATCCTATGGCAATGTCATTCCCCTCCCCCCCTTTTTTTTACATTTACCCATATGCATTCCAGACAGCTTGCTTATTTATTTATTTATTTATTTATTTATTTATTTATTTATTTATTTATTTATTTATTTATTGGTTCGATTTATATGCCACCCTTCTCCATAGAGTCATGGTGGCTTACAATGCATTATAGCAATAGCTGTCATAGTTTTGTATATACCTGCTTATTAGGGCTTTCGGCCCCCTCTAAGCGGTGTTGTTTTTACACAAAGTCAGCTTATTGCCCCCACAATCAGGGTCCTCAATTTACCTACCTCGGAAGGATGGAAGGCTGAGTAAACCTTGAGCCTGGTGAGATTTGAACTCGCACTAATTGCAGGCAGCCGGCAGCTAAGTGCTAACATAACAGCACTTTAGACCGCTGCACCAGCAAGGCTCTTGGTGGTTTTCATCATTGTGCCTTATGTGGTTACTGCCAACAACTCACAGAACCAATTCTATGACCAGAAGAAAACATCTTATGAAGGTGTAAAGTTGTGAGGATTTGGGTCTAGAATAGGATACCAGCTAGTCTAGATGATCTGAGATTAGTAACAAAAAATATCATTTTTGAGGTATCATTTTCCTTCTTTCACTTCTTTTTCTTCCGTCCCTACCATCTCTTCAGCTAGGTTACCGCTTCTCTGACCCTGTTTTGAGGGATAAGAGCCGGTTCCCCACCTTCTACCAGATCGATCCTCAGTATCACCTACAGAATGCAGCCATTGTCCAGCTCTTTCTGTATTTCCGATGGAACTGGATAGGGATCATTGTTCAGAAGTCAGAGAGCAGTGACCATTTCATCCGGATTTTTGATGCCACACTCTCCCACAATGACATCTGCATACACTTTGTAAAACAAATCATGCCCCATATCTCAATATTCAATGAATTGACCAGTGTACAAATAGATGTGCTTTGGACAATTTTGAACAGTGATGCTCAGGTTGTGATTATCTCCGGGGTTTCAAGTATTCTGCAAAGCCTTTTAATATCCCTCTCCTATTATGAAGAAGAGAACCACACTTCTTCTGGGAAGGTCTGGATCCTGACCACCCAATGGGAATTTTCAGCTATTGGCTATCATTATCAGTGGGGAAAACTAAAATCCTTCCATGGTGCTTTGTCTTTCACAATCCACACAAACCCGGTGCCAGGATTCAAAGATTATCTCTGAGCTCTGAATCCACATGAACCCCACGGAGACGTCTTTCTCCCTGAATGGTGGGAAGTTGTATTTGACTGTCAAGTTTTGAAGGCAGGTCAGTCCTCCCCTTCTGGCCGAAGGGTTTGCACAGGAGAGGAGAAGCTGGATACCCTCCCAGCCTCCGTCTTTGATGGAAAGATGACCGGTTTCAGCTACAGCGTCTACAAGGCTGCCTATTCTGTGGCACATGCATTGCATGCTGCGTATATGTCGGAATCACAATGGGCATTGAAGAGGGGCAGAAGGAAGTCAGACTTTCACCTCTCTATGAAGTCCTGGCAGGTAACTCTCATCTTCAGAACTTCCCTTCTGTCAAGGACACAGCTTTACACTGTTTAAAGATTCATAAACATTTCCCTGTGATCTCCACTGTTTTGTCTTTTCCCTAATATTTTCCTCCTTTATTTAAATCTTCTACAAATCTTGAAATTTCTATTTTAGATATCACAGATGGAAGAGCAAAAAAAGACCCTTAAACTGTTTTTCCCTAATTATGCCAGTTGAGTTTTCTATTGAATTTCCATTGCGGTATTACGATCCACACTGTGTAATCAATTAATCATTCAATCTTCACCTTGGACAGATTTTCAATAATGTTTCCTAGCCATTTATAACTTTGGATCCTAATACATACCTAGACCCTTACATATCTTGATACATATCGATATATTTTAAATCTTGAGCAGGAGGTTGGACTCTAAAGTCCCTCCAACACTGTTATCCAGAATAACAGAGTTGGAAGGGACCTTGGAGGTCTTCTAGTCCAACTTTCCTGGTTAGGCAGGAAACCCTGCACCACTTCAGACAAATGGTTATTCAACATCTTCTTAAAAACTTCCAGTATTGGAGCATTCACAACTTCTGGAGGTAAGTTGTTTCACTGGTTAATTGTTGTAACTGTCAGGAAATTTCTCCTTAGTTATAGGTTGAATCTCTCCTTGATCAGTTAATTAATTAATAGGATTCGTACCCACTTTAGTCAATAGGATAAAATGTGTATTAAAGGCCCCTTTAATTTCTGCTACATTTAAATTAAAGGGGGCTTTTATACACATTTCAGCTACATTTGAAACTGGAAGCTTTGCGGCAAGACTGACTGGAAAGTAGCAGGCTCTGACGAGTCTGGTGGAAATCCAGCCAGACCAACTGCTGTCAGGGGGGTCTTTGGATCGGAAAAATGTTACAGGCATCTCAGATGACTAGGAGGAACAGGCAAGTTCCTTGGGAAGTCAGATAAAACTCTTCAATCCAGTGATGGGGGCCATTGGGACCGTCATGAAGCTGGGGCAACCGGAATAAGAATTGTGTAGGAGTGGTGTTTTGGATGGAGTATTGGTACCAACTCACAGGTAATAAAGAAACAATTTGAATTTTTTAAAAAGAAGTCCCAGCATGGAAATAGCAGCAAATTAGCATCAGGGAAAGTTACTGGAGGGAGAAGAACAAAGCGGAAGTAAAAACACTAAAGCCCAAAACGGAGTTTGATATTTGGATTTGGAAATTGGATTTGGAGAGACTACAAGTGTTACAAGAAAAAGAAACCTGAAAGAAAATAGTTTTGGAACAGGATTGAATACAGACTTTAAGAAAAATTTTGAACTTTAAAGGAAGAATAAAGAAGAACTAAAAATAGAAAAGCCCTGTAAAGATATCTCAATTGGATTTGATTTGGAGTGTAAAAGCTGAATTTGGAATATATAAAAATTAAGAAGAGAAAGAAGAAATTAGAAAAATATCAAAAAGTGGATTTAATACACAAAATGGATACCTTGTTAAATTGTTGATCTGAAACTTGTGGATTGGAGAGAGACATCTACTGGTAGAAAAAAAGTACTACAGTGAACATTTTGAAATCGGGAAAAAAAATACAGTGACCTACAAGCCATGAGAGGTTTTAAGGAGGATTTGTTTTCTCTTCAGCTAGACTTTGATAATTAAAAGAGGTGGCAAATAATAAAATTTTAAATTGGACTTAAAAACTAATCAGAATGTTAAAATGTGGTAGGAACTAATTGAGATGGTTAAAATGGTACGTCTATCATTTGATTTGGATAGAAAGAAATCAAGAATCTTGTCAGAACATATTCAACAGGATAAACAGGTTATCAATGAGAAGCAAGAAAACAACACTGAAGATAAAGACATTGATGATAAATTAAATGATTACATTGGGAGTAACAATGAAAAAAAGAGAAGGGTTAGGAAGATACAACCAATAAAAAAGAAGGAATTAAGAGAAGGAAAGGAAAAAGGAAAAGATTAGAGAAAATCTTCAATGATTACAGTGGGATTAACAGTGGTAAAAATAAGAGGATAAAAACAAAAGAGACCTGAAAAAAGGAAGTGATTAGAGACAAAAAAATTAAATGATTATACTGGGATTAACAGTGGGGAAACAAAGAAAGTGAAAGGAGAAAAGGGGAATAGATCAGATGGGAATGTAGGGCAAACTAAGCGAGCAAGGGATTTAAAAGCCAAAGGAAGGAAACAGGAGAAAAGATATAATAAATATAAAAAATTTAAAAGGAGGGGGGGAGAAAATGGGAAAATGGAACAATAGGAGGGAATTTTAAGAGGTGGCTTGTTAGACGAACCACGAGAAAATGGTTAAAAGGAGTAATTAATGGAAAGGAGGAAGGTATTATGATATATATGTATAGTAATAATTGTATTATGATTAATATTGGTGATTGTAATATTTGAATAAGTTGGAATTTATTATGTAATATGAATGGTAGAATGTAGAAAAATAATGGTTGTGAAGTACAAAATGATATATAAAGAAGGGGTTGAATGAATTGTATTAATATTAGGATTGGAAAAAATGAATATAAGGTAATGCAAAATGATAATTTGACATTATTTACTAAAAGGAAAGATGATTGGAAATGATGATATAATTTGTGAAATATAAAATGATTTATTTAGAAGGGGAAATTTAAATGAAATTGAAATGGAAGATAGATTCATTTTTTTAAAAAAAGATGGTGTGGAAATAAATGTGAAGAAATATATTGTTTTTGGTAATGCAAAATGATCATTTGAAATTATTTACTCAGAGGGGAAGATGATTGGAAATGATGATATAAATTGTGAAATATAAAATGACTTATTTAGAAGAGTTTTATTTAGAAGGGGTTAAGAAACAGAAATCTAAATAAAATTGAAATGGAATAAGATATTTTTATTTAAAAAAGAGGATGTCAAAAGTAAATTTGAAGAAATATATCATTAAAATGGTAAAATGATTCATAAGGAAGTATGACATGATAATCTGGTCCATCTTTAGAAAACAATTGATATTAAGAAATAATTGTGAAATAGTAAAATGATTGTGTTTAAATTAAAGGGTTTCAATAGAGAAAAGAAATGTTGAAAATATATGTGATAAAGGGAGAAATAAAAGAATGAAATGAAATAAGATTAAGATTAGGATCCAATCACCTAGTATTCCTTGGGAATAATTTGTAGTTTCAGTTCTTGAAACTGAATATTTAGAAGCTCCAGAAATAGAACTTTGCTTCAATCTACAGCTCAGTTGTAACTTTGATATAAAGTCTCTTCATTTTCATGGACTTTGTTTGTTTGGTTGTTTTGCCATTCCAGATGCACGCTTTCTTGAGAAAGGTCCTTTTCAACAACACCGCTGGGGAGGAAGTCTCCTTTTCAGAAACTGGGATGAAATATACAGGATTTGATATCCTCAACTGGGTCATCTTTGCAAATATGACGATCCTTCGACAGAAAGTCGGATGGGCCAATCCGGAGGCTCCTTCAGCTGAAGGTTTCAGCATCAACCCCAATGCCATTGTGTGGGTCAACCAGGTGCGGAGTAGATGTTGTTTCCAGGGTTCAGGAAAGTTGAGAGGAAGGACCAGGTTGTTGTGACACAAATTCTATTCAGGGGAAGGAAGAGGAGGGGCTGCTTTTATGCAGACCCCAAAGCCTAGCTGAAGATTTCTAAGCTCTCCATCTCAAAGCTAATCTCACTCTCCTTTCAGACAAAGCCTTTCTCCCGATGTGTGAAGAGCTGCCTTCCAGGACAAGCCAGGAAAGTTGCAGAGGGGAAGCGTTCTTGTTGCTACGGATGTATTCCTTGCCCAGAAGGGACCATTTCTAATCAAACAGGCAAGTTGCTTGAGGAGACCCACAAGCAGGAATGAGGAGGTCTGGTGTGGCTGCCTGGGGAGGAGTGAGAGACAATATGAGGTGGCAAATCAGTTGAAAAAATCAACATGAAAGTCATTCAGAACTTTTAACTTGAATGGATCCTTTAAGTTGTTAGCAGCAGCTTTAGCTTTTATGTGCTGTTTATATGTTTTAATATTTTATTGAACGCTGCCCAGAGTCCCTCGATATGGAAGACAGGAATTTCAAAATGTAATAATAAAATAAAACAATTCAATTCATTCATTATATAATTACTCCTGAGAAGTTTTTAGCTGCTGATTCTTCTGGATCCTTCTGTGTTGTGTGCAGCAGAAGTAAAGAGATGGGGAGCATGGGGCATTTCAGTTCTTTCATTGGGAAAACTTTTCCCCTCAAGGATAATCCCTGGTTCTCTGTCTAATATCAGCTGGCGCCTATTCTTCCAGATGCGGCTCAGTGCACCCCCTGCCCAGAAGACCAACAGCCAAACAAGAACCACGTCCTGTGCATTCCCAAGACCATGAACTTTCTCTCCTACGAGGATACACTCGGCTTCATTTTAGTTTCCCTAGCTCTTTTCTTCTCTTTGACCACAATCCTCGTGTTGGCAGCCTTCATCAAACACTGCAACACACCCATCGTCAAGGCCAACAACCGTGACCTCACCTACCTTCTCCTGGTCTCCCTCCTGCTCTGCTTCCTCTGCTCCTTCCTCTTCATCGGGCAGCCAAGGAACCTCACCTGTCTCCTCCGACAAACCACTTTCGGCATCGTCTTCTCCACTGCCATTTCATCTGTCTTGGCAAAAACTCTGACTGTAGTTCTGGCCTTCATGGCTACTAAGCCAGGAAACAGGGCAAGAAAACTCTTGGGGAAGCAGCTGATCTTAGTCCTGGCCTGTCCCCTTGTGCAAACAGCTCTTTGTGCCTCTTGGCTGGCAATCTCCCCCCCATTTACTAATTTGGATTTTCATTCTGTGAAGGGAGAAATTGTGCTGGAATGCAATGAAGGTTCAACCGCCATGTTTTATGCTGTCCTGGGCTACATGGGTTTCCTGAGTCTCATCAGCTTCATAGTGGCTTTTCCGGCCAGGAAACTACCAGACAGTTTTAATGAAGCCAAGTTCATTACTTTTAGCATGTTGGTCTTTTGCAGTGTCTGGGTCTCCTTTCTCCCCAGCTATCTGAGCACCAAAGGGAAGTCCATGGTGGCTGTGGAGATCTTCTCCATCTTGGCCTCTGCGGCTGGTCTACTGAATTGTATCTTTCTCCCCAAATGCTACGTTATAGTGCTGAGGCCAGATCTGAACAATAGAAGTCACCTCATGAGGAAAATTAAGTAGGAAAGCAAGAAAACATATAGTCATTTCTGTGCAGGTTAATATAGATGTTTCCACTCCAACTGTCATGGAGGTTAATTTTTTAAAATTTTTTATTATTATTATTTTTTATTTATATGCTGCCCTTCTCCGGAGACTCAGGGCAGCTTACAATGTGCTAAGCCATAGCCTTCATTCTTTTGTATATTTATACAAAGTTAGCTTATTGCCCCCACAACTGGGTCCTCAATTTACCTACCTTAGAAAGGATGGAAGGCTGAGTCAACCTTGAGCCTTGGCGAGATTCGAACCTGCAGTAATTGCAGGCATCTGGTCTTAATAACCAACTTAATAACAGTGTGCCTTAGACCACTGTACTACCAAGGTTAAATCAATGTACCATAAAACCTTATCTCTATAACAATCTACTATAACAAATGAGACTTACTAGCAGTTCACAATAAACTGTTTTTATTTACATAATAATAAAAACAATATCTATTCAAATACTAAATAGTATGTCATTCCTTTTCTTAAATAACCTGTCAAGATATATATAAGTAATCACTCTATATGATTATAGTACTGGCTACTCTTCCTCAGAAGGAGTCTTTTAATACATCAGATCTACCTCTGATCCCTAATCAGAAATCTCCTAACTGCCAACTTACTGATGACTAACTGTCTTCAGAACTGCCTTTCAACTGCATACTGACTGCAGAACTGCCCTTTAGAACTGCCCTCTAACTGCCCTCTAACTGACATTAGAACTGCAGAACTGCCCTCTGACAACTAACTGACTACTAACTGATAACTAACTTTCTATCGTTTGCTGCAGTATGCCATTTCTTCTCTCTACCACTCCATTTGGAAGAGCAGAGTAAGGAGTGGTACACAAATGTACTATGCCCTTCTCTTTCAGCCAATCAGAGAACTGAGCTGAGTTGAACTCAGTTCCTCTGTCGGTCAAGATCTTCTGGATGTTGACTTTGTGCTGATTTTCAACCAGATTGCAGAACTCCTTAAATTTGGATAAGGCCTGATTCTTGGATTTGAGGGGATAGACAAATCTGAACCTGCTATGGTCATCAACAATGGTCAAGAAATAATGATTCTTATCAAAGGAGGGTTTCAAAGGACCCACCAAGTCTTGCATGGAGCCGGATGATGACTGCGGTTCTGGCCCTTCCCAGCTTTCGTGAGAGGGCGGCTGGTGTTAACATCTGGCCTGAAGCGGCTTAAGACTCCATCCACTGCTGTGAGAGAGCAGTGGAGTTTATTAACTTGGAACTGATTGAATATCCCCTTTCAGACTTTGGGCTATCTTGATTAACCCCCCCAGGCCATGGATTTCCCCCCTGATTGATTGATTGATTGATTGATTAGATGTATTCGCTAAGAGAACTTCTTATTCTGTGAGACTCCCCCCTCTCGCAGGTGTGGCCCTCCACTTTATCAAGGGCCTACCTTTATGACGGGCGTTGACACCCCGAGATGTGGCATGTCGCAAAAAGGGGATTGAGGGGTTTTTTAGGGAAACTTTTTGATAGGTTTTTAAGGGATTTTAAGGGGCAGGAGGGTTCTGTGGGTTTGGGGGTTAACCCACAGGGGGAGGGGTTCGGTCCAGGTGTTAGTGGTGCCACGGAGGGTGCAGATTCTGGGGGTAAGGGGGACATTAGAGTCTGTTCTGTCGAGGGCTTTTCTATCAATGTGCTGAGTGGGAGGGGCAGATATGGCGGGAGCAGGGGGCTGTATCATGTGGTGGGGGTGCGCACTCACTATCTTCGAGTGGTGGCGCGCCCCGGTCCCCAAAGCCCTTCTCGCACCCCGGGCTGTTCAGACTCTCAGGGCCTGAGCCTTCGGCTGTTGTTGTGTAATTCCAGGTCCGTGGTAAATAAAGCCCCCCTCATCTGCGATCTTATTCAGGAGGGGGGAGTGGACTTGGCAGGTATCACAGAGACCTGGTTGGACCAGGACGGGGGAGTGCCCCTCGTAGATATGTGCCCACCAGGCTTCCGTGCATTCCATCAGCCAAGAGCTCAGGGCAGGGGCGGGGGGGTGGCCGTTATTATAAAGGAAGGTCTTGACCCGAGGGAGACCACTGTTCCACAGATAGCCGGATGTGAGTCCCTTTTTGTGAAGTGGGGCTGTGGAGTACAGATGGGTTTTTTGGTCACGTACCTGGCTCCCTGCCACGTGGCAACGGACCTGCCCGAGCTGCTCAACGTCATAGCCGAGGTGGCAGTTGATACCCCCAGACTTTCAGTCATGGGGGATTTTAACCTGCCATCTATCAATGAGACGTCTGAGGTGGCTCAAGAGTTCATGGCTTCCATGACGGCCATGGACCTGACTCACTTAATTCATGACCCTACTCAAATGGGTGGACACACTCTGGATTTAGTTTTTGTCTCTGGTCAGTGGTCGAGTGGCCTTGATACAGGGGATATAGTCATCGAACCCTTGTCATGGTCAGACCACTCGCTCCTTCGACTAGACTTTCTAACCACTGCACCCCGCTGCAGGGAGGCGGGACCGACTAGGTGGTTCCGCCCCAGGCGCCTGATGGATCCTGATAGGTTCCAGATGGAGCTTGGGCCATTTCCTGAGACTCTGGCTCATGACTCGGCTGTAGACTTAGTGGCCGCCTGGGACAGTGCGACCGCCGGGGCTTTGGACTGCGTCGTGCCTTTGCAGCCTCTGACCCGGCACCGAACTCACCTAGCTCCTTGGTTCTCCGAGGAGCTGAGGGAGATGAAGCGCCGGAAAAGACACCTGGAGAGTAGTTGGAGGACCAGCCACTCCGAATCTGACCGAACACTGGTGAGGTCTCATACTAAGACCTACCTAGTAGCAATAAAAGCGGCGAAATCTAGCTATTTTGCCGCTCTTATCGCATCATCAGATAATCGCCCAGCCGCCCTGTTTAGGGTGACCATCTCCCTCCTCCATCTGGAAGTGCGGGATGATCCCTTGCAGAGTCGAGCTGAGGACTTTGTACAGTATCTGCATGACAAGATCGCTCAGATTCGGGAAGGCCTGGCCTCTGACTGGGTAAGTCCAAATGGGATGACTGAGGCAGGTCTTGAGAATGTTATCTGGGAGGAGTTTTATCCTGTGGCTCCCGAGGATGTGGACAGGATCCTGGGATGGCTGAACGCGACCACATGTTTGTTGGACCCGTGTCCCTCCTGGTTGGTACTGGCTTCCCGGGAGGTTACACGAGGCTGGCTCCAGAGGATTGTTAACGCCTCTCTGAGTGAGGGTGTCCTGCTGGCTGCTTTGAAAGAAGCGGTGGTGAGGCCCCTCCTCAAGAAGCCCTCTCTGGATCCGGTTGTTTCGGCTAACTATTGTCCAGTCTCCAACCTTCGCTTCTTTGCAAAGGTTGTTGAGAGTGTGGTGGCGCGGCAGCTTCCCCAGTACTTGGATCCGGCCTGGGCACAGCACGGAAACGGCATTGGTCGTGTTGGTGGATGATCTCTGGAGGGCTCGGGATAGGGGTTGCTCCTCTATCCTGGTCCTGTTAAATCTCTAAGCGGCTTTTGATACCATTGACCATGGTATCATGTTGCACTGGTTGAAGGGGCTGGGGGTGGGGGGCACCGTCCTGCGGTGGTTCTCCTCCTACCTCTCTGACCGGTCGCAATCTGTGTTGACAGGGGGGCAGCGGTCGACCCCGAGGCACCTTGCTTGTGGGGTGCTACAAGGGTTGGTCCTCTCGCCCCTTCTGTTCAACATTTATGTGAAACCGCTGGGTGAGATCATCCGTGGCTTTGGGGTGGAGTTCCATCAGTACGCTGATGACACTCAGCTGTACATCTCCACCCCAGGCCACCCCAACGATGCCCTTGATGTGATATCCCACTGCCTGGAGGCCGTGTGGGTCTGGATGGGAAGAAATAGGCTCAAACTCAACCCTTCCAAGACTGAGTGGCTGTGGCTTCCGGCGTCCCGCTACATTCAGCAGGTGCCATCACTGACTATTGAGGGTGAATCTTTGCCCCCCACAGAGAGGGCTCACAATTTGGTTGTCCTTCTGGACTCACAGCTGTCTTTAGAAGAGCATATAATGGCCATAGCCATTTGCATCCCTTTCTGGACTGGGACGCCTTGCGCATGGTCACTCACACTCATCACCTCCCGTCTGGACTACTGTAATGCTCTCTACATGGGGCTCCCCTTGAATAGCACTTGGAGGCTCC